GTTTATAGGAAACTGTTTTATATGATTCTTTCTATTTATTAGGGATAATACATCACAACCAGGTGCCTCTCAGCTGGGTACAGACAATGAGTTCATCATATACAGCTTTGCTGAACCAACTGAGTGCGATGTTCATAGGAAACTGTTTTATATGATTCTTTCTATTTATTAGAGACATCACCACCATGTGCCTCTCAGCTGATACAGACAATGAGTTCATCATGTACAGCTTTGCTGAACCCACTGAGTGTGATGTTTATAGGAAACTGTTTTATATGATTTTTTCTATTTATTAGGGATAATACATCACCACCAGGTGCCTCTCAGCTGGGTACAGACAATGAGTTCATCATATACAGCTTTGCTGAAGCCACTGAGTGATGTTTATAGAAAACTGTTTTATATGATTCTTTCTATTTATTAGGGATAATACATCACCACCAGGTGCCTCTCAGCTGGGTACGGACAATGAGTTCATCATGTACAGCTTTGCTGAACCAACTGAGTGCGATGTTCATAGGAAACTGTTTTATATGATTTTTTCTATTTATTAGGGATAATACATCACCACCAGGTGCCTCTCAGCTGGGTACAGACAATGAGTTCATCATATACAGCTTTGCTGAAGCCACTGAGTGATGTTTATAGGAAACTGTTTTATATGATTCTTTCTATTTATTAGGGATACTACATCACCACCAGGTGCCTCTCAGCTGGGTACAGACAATGAGTTCATCATGTACAGCTTTGCTGAACCAACTGAGTGATGTTTATAGGAAACTGTTTTATATGATTCTTTCTATTTATTAGGGATAATACATCACCACCAGGTGCCTCTCAGCTGGGTACAGACAATGAGTTCATCATATACAGCTTTGCTGAACCAACTGAGTGATGTTTATAGGAAACTGTTTTATATGATTCTTTCTATTTATTAGGGATAATACATCACCACCAGGTGCCTCTCAGCTGGGTACAGACAATGAGTTCATCATGTACAGCTTTGCTGAACCAACTGAGTGATGTTTATAGGAAACTGTTTTATATGATTCTTTCTATTTATTAGGGATAATACATCACCACCAGGTGCCTCTCAGCTGGGTACAGACAATGAGTTCATCATGTACAGCTTTGCTGAACCCACTGAGTGATGTTTATAGGAAACTGTTTTATATGATTCTTTCTATTTATTAGGGATAATACATCACCACCAGGTGCCTCTCAGCTGGGTACAGACAATGAGTTCATCATATACAGCTTTGCTGAACCCACTGAGTGATGTTTATAGGAAACTGTTTTATATGATTCTTTCTATTTATTAGAGACATCACCACCATGTGCCTCTCAGCTGGGTACAGACAATGTGTTCATCATGTACGGCTTTGCTGAACCCACTGAGTGATGTTTATAGGAAACTGTTTTATATGATTCTTTCTATTCATTAGGGATAATACATCACCACCAGGTGCCTCTCAGCTGGGTACAGACAATGAGTTCATCATGTACAGCTTTGCTGAACCCACTGAGTGATGTTTATAGGAAACTGTTTTATATGATTCTTTCTATTTATTAGGGATAATACATCACCACCAGGTGCCTCTCAGCTGGGTACGGACAATGAGTTCATCATATACAGCTTTGCTGAACCAACTGAGTGATGTTTATAGGAAACTGTTTTATATGATTCTTTCTATTTATTAGGGATACTACATCACCACCATGTGCCTCTCAGCTGGGTACAGACAATGAGTTCATCATATACAGCTTTGCTGAACCAACTGAGTGATGTTTATAGGAAACTGTTTTATATGATTCTTTCTATTTATTAGCGATAATACATCACCACCAGGTGCCTCTCAGCTGGGTACAGACAATGAGTTCATCATATACAGCTTTGCTGAACCAACTGAGTGATGTTTATAGGAAACTGTTTTATATGATTCTTTCTATTTATTAGAGACATCACCACCATGTGCCTCTCAGCTGGGTACAGACAATGAGTTCATCATGTACAGCTTTGCTGAACCCACTGAGTGATGTTTATAGGAAACTGTTTTATATGATTCTTTCTATTCATTAGGGATAATACATCACCACCAGGTGCCTCTCAGCTGGGTACAGACAATGAGTTCATCATGTACAGCTTTGCTGAACCCACTGAGTGATGTTTATAGGAAACTGTTTTATATGATTCTTTCTATTCATTAGGGATAATACATCACCACCATGTGCCTCTCAGCTGGGTACAGACAATGGGTTCATCATATACAGCTTTGCTGAACCAACTGAGTGATGTTTATAGGAAACTGTTTTATATGATTCTTTCTATTTATTAGAGACATCACCACCAGGTGCCTCTCAGCTGGGTACAGACAATGAGTTCATCATGTACAGCTTTGCTGAACCCACTGAGTGATGTTTATAGGAAACTGTTTTATATGATTCTTTCTATTTATTAGGGATACTACATCACCACCATGTGCCTCTCAGCTGGGTACAGACAATGAGTTCATCATATACAGCTTTGCTGAACCCACTGAGTGATGTTTATAGGAAACTGTTTTATATGATTCTTTCTATTTATTAGGGATACTACATCACCACCATGTGCCTCTCAGCTGGGTACAGACAATGAGTTCATCATGTACAGCTTTGCTGAACCAACTGAGTGATGTTTATAGGAAACTGTTTTATATGATTCTTTCTATTTATTAGAGACATCACCACCAGGTGCCTCTCAGCTGGGTACAGACAATGAGTTCATCATATACAGCTTTGCTGAACCCACTGAGTGATGTTTATAGAAAACTGTTTTATATGATTCTTTCTATTTATTAGGGATAATACATCACCACCAGGTGCCTCTCAGCTGGGTACGGACAATGAGTTCATCATGTACAGCTTTGCTGAACCAACTGAGTGCGATGTTCATAGGAAACTGTTTTATATGATTCTTTCTATTTATTAGGGATACTACATCACAACCAGGTGCCTCTCAGCTGGGTACAGACAATGAGTTCATCATATACAGCTTTGCTGAACCAACTGAGTGATGTTTATAGGAAACTGTTTTATATGATTCTTTCTATTTATTAGGGATAATACATCACCACCAGGTGCCTCTCAGCTGGGTACAGACAATGAGTTCATCATATACAGCTTTGCTGAACCCACTGAGTGATGTTTATAGGAAACTGTTTTATATGATTCTTTCTATTTATTAGGGATAATACATCACCACCAGGTGCCTCTCACCTGGGTACAGACAATGAGTTCATCATATACAGCTTTGCTGAACCAACTGAGTGATGTTTATAGGAAACTGTTTTATATGATTCTTTCTATTTATTAGAGACATCACCACCATGTGCCTCTCAGCTGGGTACAGACAATGAGTTCATCATATACAGCTTTGCTGAACCAACTGAGTGATGTTTATAGGAAACTGTTTTATATGATTCTTTCTATTTATTAGGGATAATACATCACAACCAGGTGCCTCTCAGCTGGGTACAGACAATGAGTTCATCATATACAGCTTTGCTGAACCCACTGAGTGATGTTTATAGGAAACTGTTTTATATGATTCTTTCTATTTATTAGGGATACTACATCACCACCATGTGCCTCTCAGCTGGGTACGGACAATGAGTTCATCATGTACAGCTTTGCTGAACCCACTGAGTGATGTTTATAGGAAACTGTTTTATATGATTCTTTCTATTTATTAGGGATAATACATCACCACCAGGTGCCTCTCAGCTGGGTACAGACAATGAGTTCATCATGTACAGCTTTGCTGAACCAACTGAGTGATGTTTATAGGAAACTGTTTTATATGATTCTTTCTATTTATTAGGGATACTACATCACCACCATGTGCCTCTCAGCTGGGTACAGAGAATGAGTTCATCATATACAGCTTTGCTGAACCCACTGAGTGATGTTTATAGGAAACTGTTTTATATGATTCTTTCTATTTATTAGAGACATCACCACCAGGTGCCTCTCAGCTGGGTACAGACAATGAGTTCATCATGTACAGCTTTGCTAAACCCACTGAGTGATGTTTATAGGAAACTGTTTTATATGATTTTTTCTATTTATTAGGGATAATACATCACCACCAGGTGCCTCTCAGCTGGGTACAGACAATGAGTTCATCATATACAGCTTTGCTGAACCCACTGAGTGATGTTTATAGGAAACTGTTTTATATGATTCTTTCTATTTATTAGGGATAATACATCACAACCAGGTGCCTCTCAGCTGGGTACAGACAATGAGTTCATCATATACAGCTTTGCTGAACCCACTGAGTGATGTTTATAGGAAACTGTTTTATATGATTCTTTCTATTTATTAGGGATAATACATCACAACCAGGTGCCTCTCAGCTGGGTACAGACAATGTGTTCATCATGTACAGCTTTGCTGAACCAACTGAGTGATGTTTATAGGAAACTGTTTTATATGATTCTTTCTATTTATTAGGGATACTACATCACCACCATGTGCCTCTCAGCTGGGTACAGACAATGAGTTCATCATATACAGCTTTGCTGAACCCACTGAGTGATGTTTATAGGAAACTGTTTTATATGATTCTTTCTATTTATTAGAGACATCACCACCATGTGCCTCTCAGCTGGGTACAGACAATGAGTTCATCATGTACAGCTTTGCTGAACCCACTGAGTGATGTTTATAGGAAACTGTTTTATATGATTCTTTCTATTCATTAGGGATAATACATCACCACCAGGTGCCTCTCAGCTGGGTACAGACAATGAGTTCATCATGTACAGCTTTGCTGAACCAACTGAGTGCGATGTTCATAGGAAACTGTTTTATATGATTCTTTCTATTTATTAGAGACATCACCACCATGTGCCTCTCAGCTGGGTACAGACAATGAGTTCATCATATACAGCTTTGCTGAACCCACTGAGTGTGATGTTTATAGGAAACTGTTTTATATGATTCTTTCTATTTATTAGGGATAATACATCACCACCAGGTGCCTCTCAGCTGGGTACGGACAATGAGTTCATCATGTACAGCTTTGCTGAACCAACTGAGTGCGATGTTTGTAGGAAACTGCTGCGGGGAATCTTCTTCCAGGGCTACAAGTGTCAAAGTAAATATAAACTCTTACACAAAACTTTGGGTATTTCCTCAGACCAAGACTTCACCTTTTGACTAATTTGATTGGTCTTATAATTAAAGGCACGTGTCTGATAAAAAAATTATTGAAGAGTTCTTTGGAATTATTGTTCTGTTGGAATGGAGCAATCTGAGTACAGTTTTGTACATATTTATTAAGAACATATTGGGCATGTAGTGCCATTTTGTTGGGGGACTTCCCTTTCTAATGCGAGAGATTAGAATTGCCAGAATGTCAAGAGGAACCTTTGTCCTGCCTCCAGAATGGATGCCTGGCAAACAAGTAAGCATTAATGAAATGATTTATTTGTATTGACTGTTTTGTAGAGACCAACAAAAATGTCCATAAAGAATGTATTAAGAAGGTTCGCAAAGGTGCCCAACCCCCAGTTCCTGAACAGAGACCTATTTCCTCACCTGGGCATGTACCTATGAGACCCCCAAAACCTCATGGTAATGAATCATTTTTCTCGTTTAGATTAGCTTGGGTTCAATATCATCACCAAGAAGCATAGACAGTTTGTTAATATGAAATATACATGGGAAAAGCAATTTTGTTATAAGAATGATGAACTTATTTATTAAATTATTTGGAATAATTTTTTTGACACCAAAATAAATTGTAAAGAAATAAAAATTGCTAACTTAAACTACAAAATAATTTAGGTTATAATGGCAATGATGATTTCAAATATGATTTATAATGTTAACCCAGGACAGATAAATGACAATAATGTCAGAAATTTATATGTTATATACTACACTCTTTGAGGAAGGAAATAGGAATAAGAAAAATGTATTTTACCCACAATTTTTGAAAATATGTGACACTATCTTAAAATTATAACATTAAAAATGTATTTGTAACATGACTTAATGAAAAGAAATAAAAAAAATTGCTGGTTGAATTTTATTCTTCTTAAGAGATATTGTTTAAAATGAGCCCTGCTCTAAATCCTTTACTATATAATATATAAATGAGGTATTTTACAGGCAAAGTGAAAGCAGTCAACTCATACCAAGGTATTCCTCCCTCAGATGGCAGAAAAGTCTTACATTTCCAAACGGGTGACGTCATAGAGGTGCTAAATAAAGATGACGACAATTGGTGGGAGGTTAGTATGGTATATTAATATGTGGTATGGTATGGTGTATTAAAATGAAATATTCCTGTTCAGTTCAATCAGTGATCTTGGTAAACTATTCATTCTTAAACTGAATTAAAATTATTTATTCGTTTATTCACAGAAGGTATGTTCATGCTATGAGTTATATTACATTATAACACACATATGGTATGGTCCTGCTAGGAATTATATTACATTATAATACACACATGGTATGTTCATGCTGTGAATTATATTACATTATAATACACACATGGTATGTTCATGCTATGAGTTATATTACATTATAATACACACGTGGTATGGTCCTGCTAGGAATTATATTACATTATAATATACACATGGTATGATCATGCTATGAATACATTATAATACACACTTGGTGTGATCATTCTATATTATATGATAATACACACATGGTATGGTCATGATATGGCTTATATTACATTATAATACACACATGGTATGGTCATACTATAAATTATATTACATTATAATACACACATGGTATGGTCGTACTATAAATTATATTACATTATAATACACACATGGTATGGTCATACTATAAATTATGTTACATTATAACACACACATGGTATGGTCATGCTGTGAATTATATTACATTACAATAAACACATGGTATGGTTATGCTATGAATTATATTACATTATAATACACACATGGTATGGTCATGCTGTGAATTATATTACATTATAATACACACATGGTATGGTCATGCTGTGAATTATATTACATTACAATACACACATGGTATGGTCATGCTGTGAATTATATTACATTATAATACACACATGGTATGGTCATGCTGTGAATTATATTACATTATAATACACACATGGTATGGTCATACTATAAATTATATTACATTATAATACACACATGGTATGGTCGTACTATAAATTATATAACATTTTAATACACACATGGTATGGTCATGCTGTGAATTATATTTAATTACAATACACACATGGTATAGTCATGCTATGAATTATATTACATTATAATACACATGATATGGTCATGCTGTGAATTATATTACATTATAATACACACATGGTATGGTCATGCTGTGAATTATATTACATTATAATACACATGATATGGTCATGCTGTGAATTATATTACATTACAATACACACATGGTATGGTCATGCTATAAATTATATTACATCATAGTACACAAATGGTATGGTCATGCTGTGAATTATATTACATTACAATACACACATGGTATGGTCATGCTATGAATTATATTACATTATAATACACACATGGTATGGTCATGCTGTGAATTATATTACATTATAATACACACATGGTATGGTCATACTATAAATTATATTACATTATAATACACACATGGTATGGTTGTACTATAAATTATATAACATTGTAATACACACATGGTATGGTCATGCTGTGAATTATATTTAATTACAATACACACATGGTATAGTCATGCTATGAATTATATTACATTACAATACACACATGGTATAGTCATGCTATTAATTATATTACATTATAGTACACACATGGTATGGTCATGCTGTGAATTATATTACATTACAATACACACATGGTATGGTCATGCTATGAATTATATTACATTATAATACACACATGGTATGGTCATGCTGTGAATTATATTACATTATAATACACACATGGTATGGTCATACTATAAATTATATTACATTATAATACACACATGTATGGTTATACTATAAATTATATTACATTGTAATACACACATGGTATGGTCATGCAATGAATTATATTAAAACATTTCTGTCTTATTATTTCATTTTAAGCTAATTAAACCATTTTACTGTAACCTTTTTATTTGACTTTAAGGGAAGGTTGCAAGGTGTTGATGGTTATTTCCCTAAAAACTATGTGATGGACTGGACTACAATGGTGAGTTTCTTTTATATAAACCACCATAACTTCTATCATTTTTGGAGTTACAATATTCATAAAAAGCCAGTTCTACTTCATGAAGTTATTTCTGCATTTAATTCACTAAAACATTTTTTGTAAGCACTATATATACATATTTTTGTGATTCTAGTTTTGGTGAATTTTTAAATTTTGTTTAATTGGAAATATGATTTCTCATTTGTCATTCTCTGTGTTTAAAATGTCATTGTAGCTGTTGAGAAATTTACAAGGAATAAACAATTTATTAAAAAGAAACTATTTGAAAGGGAATGAACTATGAAGCATACCCTTGTATAAGTTAAATTATATTAAAGAGCTAAAAAGTATATTTGATATATGATATTTTAATTATTGACACTTAAGTACGTGTTTAAAAATGTAATTGTGCAATGATCCCATATTTACAAATACAGGTCCCCAATCGTATACATTATCTCACAAAAATATTTTGCAACAAGATAAAGAGCTATCAGGGGTTAAAGAATTTTTCAAGTCTTTAATCCCTGATGCTGAAGATAGGTGGTCTTTGTATTGTACATGACATCTGCTATACATGACATCTGATATACATGACACCTTGTATACATGGCATCTGGTATGGTATTTAGCACAAGAAGCCCAGCTATATAGACCACACACCGTCCGGGCGTCCGGATGTAACTCCGTCCTCACCAGGGTCCCCTAGAACTGCTATGTCACCCACTAGCAGGCCAGGATCTTATGTGAATCTACAAGACCTAACTGACTACAACTGGTATGCCACTATGATGTTTCAATGTTACACGTGATGTGATGTCACCATTGCATGTGATGTCATCATCAACTATGTGATAAGTCTTTCAATCAATGCTTTCCTCTGGGAATTCTGACATTTTTATACATTCAGAATCTAATTAAAATTGCTAGATTCTTCCATTGATTATTCACTTTCAATTAATTTACTGAACCTTCAGCCAAAGACTGAGATTAAGGTAACTCAATCATTCTGAATAATCTGACCATTCAACCTTTAACGGTACAAAATACCCCTCTGCCCTCCCGAAGGCCAAAATCAGTTCATATAAGATATTTACAAATAAAGCATTGATCTGAATGATTTTACACAATTATGTATGATTTATTTAGTTAAGGATGGTGTGTTTTGGTGATTCCTACCAATTAATATTCATTCCTCTCCCTTCCGTGTTATGCTTCCATGCCAGTTCATGAATTTTCACATTGTTATTGTCTTTCCTCAAGAATGATGAGAGGAATAACCAAGAAATACATAGAAATTTTGAGTATCGAATGAATACATGGAGATAAATTTTGGAATAAAACAAGATATGTAAAAAGAAGCCATATTTATATACATACATGTACATACACAACTTCGTTCCTTGTTCTTGAGAGAAAACCACAACTAAGTGATATTTCAAACTCTGGCTGGCTGAAATTATAACATATAAATACTAATCAAGAGTTTCTTCACCATTTGGAAATCTGCTCATCCTAACCAAGTGAAATTTTATTTTATTTTGTGTTTTAAATGCGCAGTTCTGGTATTGATGCACTGTTTTATATTATATTTGCATTTAAAACACTCTTAACATTGACTTATAATGCAAATGTCACGCATGTGGTCTTTGTCCTGGAGAGAATTTATTACTGAATTGGACTTGTAGATTTCCAGTTTTTAGGTCTATGCATGTTAGGATAAGATTGGAATACTAGGAACACAAAATAGGTATTTTAGAGCACATCTTTGCTGCATTTTGTAGGTACCTTTTTGGAATTCGGAAGCATCGTCATATATTTTTTCACTTATCATTAACAGGCAATCATACTGCCATCATAAAGTCTGACTATTCTTATTTCATTTGAAACTTCATATTGGAAAATTGAGAGATGAGTGATGTAAAGAGGTTTTAATTTTATCATGACACTATAAGTTGTATCACAATGATACAAACTTTATTTGATGAGTATGATTGCATTTTTATCCCACTGATCGAAGTTCAAGAGGGATATAGAGAAGCCATCCCTTTGTTTGTATGTCTGTCTGTCCATTCCTTTGGTGTTTGTTTGTTCATACATCTTTAAGATTGTATGCTTCTGTTGCTCTTGGGGGACAGTGTATTTATACATTACGAGATATCCGGTGGCAGTAATTCAAATAACGGTCAATGGATTCGTGGACCAATTTGGTTCAAATTCCTCAACTCAATTACCAGTGGACGGCTTTGGTTCACATTTAACAAGCTGATGGACACAGGAGCTTCGCACGAGAGAGAATTTTCAAGATGGCAGCTGAATTTCAAAATGGCTTCTTTATTCATAAAAGAACATTATCTTTGATAACTCAATTACCAGTTGGCAGATTTCATTCAAATTTTACATGCTAGATGCCTAGAGATGAGGAAACTCTGCTAATAAGAAGATATTTTCAAGATGACTGCTGAGTTTCAGAATGGCTGCAATTTTTGTAAAGAAACATTATATTTGATAACTCAAACACCAGAAAACAGATTTGGTTCAAATTTGATATTCTGATACCTAGGGATAAAGGAGCTCTGTTCAAGAAGGCCCCTATTTATCAAAACATGTTTTGTTTGGTGGGATTTACTACTCCGTTGATTGGCTTTTTTTAGTTATTCTGTCCTTGGTGACCCGGCAAAATATGTACATAGGGGTCCGTCTAGGTTTCCCCTTTCATAAAGCATCATGATAACCCCTCCCATACACCCATATCCACTGCCCATATTTTACCCATGTAAGAAACATCAAGGATAAGCACACACTACACAGGATGTTAATACCCACAATTCTTATTATAACAGTCACACAGGAGGCCATCATATGAACACACAATGCCTGGGGCATTTAGTGCACTTAAACTGAATGGTTATGGGAGCCAGGTTCCTCTCCCCCCTACACATCCTTCAAGATTGTCAGTAGTCCTCCCCCCACCAGATGTCTCTACTGGCCCTTTGGGTAGTACCGGTTACGTTAACCTTAATGACCTAAGTCCGTTTTTGTGGTAGGTATAGTTAGATTAGGCACATAGCCATTGTAGCATCTGTGCTTCAACAACTAACACCATCTAGTATACTCCCTGAGATCCATTGTGTGAAATTCATGAATATTAAGGCACATAGTCATTATAGCACCACCTGTACTATATCTGAGATCCATTGTGTGCATTTTTATGAATATTAAGGCACAGAGTCATTTTAACAGCTGTGCTTCAACAATTAACAACATCTAGCATTCTCTCCAAGATCCATTGTGTGCAATTCATGAATATTAAGGCACATAGTCATTATAGCACCACCTGTGCTATATCTGAGATCCATTGTGTGCAATTCATGAATATTAAGGCACATAGTCATTATAGCACCACCTGTGCTATATCTGAGATCCATTGTGTGCAATTCATGAATATTAAGGCACATAGTCATTATAACAGCTATGCTTCAACAATTAACAACATCTAGCATACTCTCCGAGATCCATCGTGTGCAATTTATGAATATTAAGCCACAGAGTACCTCATGAATACGTTAACAAATTAATGATTGCTTGTATGTATTTTAATATCTACTTATTATTTTTCAAGGAAAGAGTAGATGTTAAATATATATTCATATATCTTATAGTGTTCGTTGGGATTTGCTACTCTGTTGAGTTGCCGTTTTCTAGTTATTATTCTCTTGAAAGAAACGACAAAATTGACAGGGTTTTCTCAAAGTTTTGACACATCCTTTCAGTCCAATTTTTGACAACCATTGTGGTATATCTTTGTCCCAATGTTTCAACATTAATATTCTTTACAGCAATATAACTCTGTCATTTTACAATTTATCATGTTCCCTTGTCATGATAGAATACTGCAAGGCCTTACTTATTGTGAACTGGCAATATAATATAAATGGACAATTATCAAAATAACCTTCATGTGACTGGATCACATCAGGATAATGTATTTTTATTAGCAACGGGGATGTCATTGATTTATGAGCAATAGTCATGTCCTGGCTTCCTGTGCCTTAACCGCCCAGAAGTATGACACTCTTAGGCATGTTTTCATTGTATTTAAATTATATATATGATCATGTGTTTTAACTCCATGTCATTTTGTATAAGCCATGACATATTGTTCTTGTTAACATCTTGAGAAATAAATTCTATTGGGCAAACGTTGAGTATGAGCCTTTCAAGCCCTCCTTGGTGAATGGGGGATTGACATTTAAGATGAAGAGCTACTTATGCAAAACAATGAATGTAAAACAAAGGGAATCATCTTGATTCACAATGTTTCAGTTGCTTCAACTTAAAGTATATAATTTAAGAATGAATCCACATTTACTGAGTTAACCAAACTAAATGCTTATTGTGTTCTCAAAGTAAAGATAATAAGTCATAAACTTGTTTTGAATATGTAAGATAAATACAGTTCAAGGATTTTTTCAATAAAACCCCTGCCATAAAATGAAAATTTACAAGTGTGACTGCTGGTTACACAAATAATTTGACACTTTTGATTGATTCCGTGATGATCTTCATGGGCATGACACACCACACAGTAATAGGACAGGAATGATCTTCATGGGCATGAAACACCACACAGTAATTGGACAGGAATGATCTTCATGGGCATGACACACCACACAGTAATAGGACAGGAATGATCTTCATGGGCATGACACACCACACAGTAATAGGACAGGAATGATCTTCATGGGCATGACACACCACACAGTAATAGGACAGAAATGATCTTCATGGGCATGACACACCACACAGTAATAGGACGGGAAAATAAGCATTTGCATCAAAGGTGTGTTATAACACCTTGGAAGTGAAAGATGGGGTTAGAACAAGAAATATACAAAACAGCGCTTATCAAGAATTGTTAACTGATTCCTGTATAACGATATAAACAAGACGATGTAAACAAATCAAAGTTTTACTAAATATTCAAGTCTTTCTAGGCTGAATAATTCTCAAATTGTGAATGAACATTTCATGATAAGTGGACAAATAGTGTTAGGGCTTTGAACACTAAGACAACAAAACAAGTTTAATTAACCAAATAAGTGGAACATCATGTGTGACCTTTCAACAAGAATCACTTCCACTATCCACTTAGTCTAAATAAAATATATATTGACCATTAGTGATCCAGTTAGGCTTCTTGTAATGTATATTGACCATTAGTGTCAGTTCACTTCCTGCTTATGACAAATGATATCAATAAAATAGTGTTATTAAGGATGACTAACCATAGATCACCCACAAGTAAGTGATTCCTGTTCATTAATCAAGTTGGATTACAAGCCACATACACTGTCAACCAAGCCACATACACTGTCAATCAAGCCGTATACAATGTCAATAAAGGCACATACACTGTCAATCAAGCCATATACAGTACACTGTCAATCAAGCCACATACACTGTCAATAAAGGCACATACACTGTCAACCAAGCCATATACAATGTCAATAAAGGGACATATACTGTCAATCAAGCCATATACAGTACACTGTCAATTAATCCACATAAACTGTCAATCAAGCCATATACAATGTCAATAAAGGGACATACACTGTCAATCAAGCCATATACAATGTCAATAAAGGGACATACACTGTCAATCAAGCCATATACAATGTCAATCAAGCCATATACAATGTCAATAAAGGGAATACACTGTCAATCAAGCCATATACAGTACACTGTCAATCAAGCCACATCCACTGCCAATAAAGGCACATACACTGTCAAGCCATATACAATGTCAATAAAGGGACATACACTGTCAATCAAGCCATATTCAATGTCAATAAAGGGAATACACTGTCAATCAAGCCATATACAGAACACTGTCAATCAAGCCACATCCACTGCCAATAAAGGCACATACACTGTCAATCAAGCCATATACAATGTCAATAAAGGGACATACACTGTCAATCAAGCCATATACAATGTCAGTAAAGGGACATACACTGTCAATCAAGCCATATACAGTACACTGTCAATCAAGCCACATACACTGTCAATAAAGGCACATACACTGTCAATCAAGCCACATACACTGTCAACCAAGCCACATACACTGTCAATCAAGCCATATACAATGTCAATAAAGGGACATACACTGTCAATCAAGCCATATACAGTACACTGTCAATCAAGCCACATACACTGTCAATAAAGGCACATACACTTTCAATCAAGTCATATACAATGTCAATAAAGGGACATACACTGTTTATCAAGCCATATACAGTACACTGTCAATCAAGCCACATACACTGTCAATAAAGGCACATACACTGTCAATCAAGCCATATACAATGTCAATAAAGGGACATACACTGTCAATCAAGCCATATGCATGTGACCCTGGCATTTGAGAAAAACAAACAGATTAAGAGAAATTAGTAAGACAAAATAGGATTAAGTATTTACCATCAACTAATTTGAGTGAAAATTTCTTACTCGATTAAGCTACTATCTGCGGTTAACCATCGACATTTACAATACAGTATAAATATAATTACCCATCCTCATTTCAATTAATGAGTCTTGAATCAAACTTACACCTACTACAGTAATTTATTTTCTAAGGACGTTAGCTTCGATTTTCTCTCAAATTACCTACTTGAATGTGTTTTAATGAACATAGCCTTCACTCTTCACTCTATCATTAAATGTATTAAACCTTCAATATCTTATCAGTAATTACAACCACAATGATCTTAAATAATAATGATGTCCTTGAAGAACCTGAAGGATGAAAAACAAGTATTTTTACTTATGAAAGATTATTGCATTTTGACAATTTGAGACTTGTTTTGTTAAGTGAGATTTATATGCAATGAGAAAATTATTGCTATTATTATAGATTCAGTCTCTGTGAATGACATTTCAGATTTTCCTCTTAAATTGTGAGGATAGTATAAAATCATTCTATCACATTATTGTTTACCACATCAATATATTCAACTCACATACAAGTAAAATTAGCTCTTGTTCTTGATTGTTCTTATTCTTAATGAGGCTAAGGCTGCATTTTTGTTGACTCTATAGAAGTTTCCACCCTGGGGTATTGACTCTATAGAAGTTTTCACACGGTGATGTGTTGACTATAGATGTTTTCACACTATGGGTTGTTGACTATATAAGTTTTCACACAGTGAGGTGTTGACTATAGAAGTTTTCACACTGTGAGGTGTTGACTCACTAGATGTTTTCACACTGTGATGTGTTGACTATAGAAGTTTTCACACTGTGATGTGTTGACTATAGAAGTTTTCACACTGTGAGGTGTTGACTCTCTAGATGTTTTCACACTGTGGGGTGTTAACTCACTAGATGTTTTCACACTGTGATGTGTTGACTATAGAAGTTTTCACACTGTGAGGTGTTGACTCTATAGATGTTTTCACACTGTGGGGTGTTGACTCACTAGATGTTTTCACACTGTGATGTGTTGACTATAGAAGTTTTCACACTGTGAGGTGTTGACTCTCTAGATGTTTTCACACTGTGGGGTGTTAACTCACTAGATGTTTTCACACTGTGATGTGTTGACTATAGAAGTTTTCACACTGTGAGGTGTTGACTCTATAGACGTTTTCACACTGTGGGGTGTTGACTCCATAGAAGTTTTCATACTGTGAGGTGTTTATCTCAGGGATATATTAACATATAAGTTCTAGATTCCTTATCTTCCCATGTGTGTTTCCCCATTTGTTTTATTTTACTTTTTAGGAATAACTTTAATAACGTATTTGCACAAAATATGTTATATTGTAGGATCTTCTTATTGTTATTATCTCTTGTTATTTCATACTGTTCAAAAACTGGTATTACTTCTTTCCAATCTGCAGATTACATTGGACCTTGGAGTACTGTAAAAGTATTTGTCTTCGAATCTAAAGTGGCTGTTCCAGTAGGATATGACCAGTATGCCAAATCCTTTTTCAACCCATCAGCTATAAGAATTTATCACAGTAATTGCATAAACAAAGAGTTACTAATTGGTAAAGTTTAATTGTTTTCAGTCAGGCTTACCAAATTTTGAACCTGCTAAATCAAATGGACCTAACACCCCTCCAAGACCAGAGATCACCTCTTCCAATAGCATTAGCTCAACCAATCAGAACACTTATAGTGATTCACCTCCACTCATGCCCCGCTCAAGAAATCATTTTGCAAAAAGGTCTTATGTGAATCTGGAGCCAACCAATTACGAGTGGTATGTCAGGCTGATACTTATGATGTTGTTTTTGGTGAAAATCCCCTCATTTTACTGCTGTTTTTCATTTTTAATGTGTTGTCATAGTCTTGCAAACTGTTGTAGTTTGTTCAATCATTTATTTATTCATTTATTGTTGTCATTTTAATTGTCATTGTACTTAAACATGCACAATATTTATGATTTCTTATAGCCATCTCACATAAGTCAAGTCTAAATTTCATTTGTTTCAAGATTTTATATTGGGTGCCCAAATTCTGCCAAGAATGTTCTGCCGTGGTTGACTTAACAAATTAAAGATATAATTGAAGGAAAATTAGATGAAGAAAACTAAAGCCATAAATTATATACAGAAAAAGTCTAATTCATCAATCATGACTGATTAAAACTAAAATCACCTTTATCCAAATAAAGGAAATAATAAAATATAAAATCAAAAATAAACAAAACATTGCAAATTTAAATGATACGCAAGAAATCTTCCATAAAACTTGGAGATTGGTCATTGAATTATTAAAGGGTTACGATAAGCTTCCCGTATAAAAACAATATGGCGGCAACAGGATCGGTTCATTTTTAAGAAATGAGGGAGTTTTGTAAATTCCAATTTATTGAAATCGTCTCGGAGATAAAGTTATCTGTTTACAATGATTCTGTAAACATTATTGAGAAAGTGATTGTTCAAAGAATGCATGTACAACAGCCATAAATTCTTGTATTCGAACTGCTTTGTTTCATTTGGAGGATATTTCATATGCCAAGCTGTGTACTAATACGTTATGGGGAAATTTAGATGTCAATTTTTCCTTATTATACACAAATAGAAGATCCTGAAACTTCACCCATAAATGTGAAATTGATTAGTCAAAATAAAAATCTCCCTTTTATAAATGTATGATGATCTCTAATATACTAATGCTATATAACAGTTAGAGGTGTCTGACACAACAACCTTGAGCTGTGAACCCTTGGGCATTATTCTGGTATCCGGCCTTTTATACTAAACGGTGAGCAACACCAGAAACGAGCGTTCGATTTGCTAAACGATATGAGTCACCCTTTAAGCCAATAACTTTTATTATATTTAAGGTATGGAGTTATATATTATAAAACTGTAGGCATCTATATGTTTTTGAAGACCATTGTAAACCATATTGTTTGAAAATCCTCTGTACATGGAGATGAGCTGTTGAAATAGGTACCTGTCTGTAAAATGTAAAATAATAATATGAACATGTGTGTATATCATGTATGATGTATGTGTAAGATCCAATAAATATTGTTGTATATAGTTAACATTATGTTGTTTCATAACAAATTGCAGTTTATAGTTGACATTATGTTGTTTGTTAACACATTGTTGTCTATAGTTAATGTACAGTAAGTAAATGTGAAGCATTAATTCTTACACTAAAGCTTTCCACCAAGGCAATAATGGGGAGGCTAATAGATTTATAACACATATCTAACTATGCTTATGTTGCACTGAATGTTCATTGCATGCCAAAAATATATAACTCTCTGTAGTATTGCTTTATATCAGTTTGTGATTTGTGCTTTTTAACACCAGCAAATGCCAAAATGTTGTTTTTTATTTTACAGTACAAAGTAGAGAGTCCATTGTATATTCTCAGATGTTTGATTTAGAGTAGTCCGAATAAAACTAAATAATTACACTAACTTATAGTAAATTAGAGCATTAGAACTAATTAATTTCACCTGCTAAGAGGATTATCATTAATGGCCATTTATTAGTTTAAAAATAAGTTTAAATGCACAATAAAGGTGAAATTGCAAAATAATTCTTTGCAAAATTCAAATCTTTTTATGTAATCAAATATAAATAATCAAGCAATTTGAACACCCTTTAGATTTTCATATCAGTGAAAGGGGAATTATTGTAATCCATATTCTATGTTGTTTAGGTTTGTCGGAGAGTTGAGTAGAGAAGCAGCTGCTGCGCGATTAGATGGCCATCCTGGAAGTACCTATCTTGTTCGGGAGAGCATAGGACCCGCTAGGAGGGGAGAATTTGCCCTTAGTATAAAGTAAGTGTACTATACCTATCTTGTTCGGGAGAGCATAGGACCCGCTAGGAGGGGAGAATTTGCCCTTAGTATAAAGTAAGTGTACTATACCTATCTTTTTCGGGAGAGCATAGGACCCGCTAGGAGGGGAGAGTTTGCCCTTAGTATAAAGTAAGTGTACTATACCTATCTTGTTTGGGAGAGCATAGGACCCACTATGAGGGGATTATTTGCCCATAGTATATTGTAAGTGTACTATACCTATCTTGTTGGGGAGAGCATAGGACCCGCTAGGAGGGGAGAATTTGCCCTTAGTATAAAGTAAGTGTACTATACCTATCTTGTTTGGGAGAGCATAGGACCCACTATGAGGGGAGAATTTGCCCATAGTATATTGTAAGTGTACTATACCTATCTTGTTCGGGAGAGCATAGAACCCACTATGAGGGGAGAGTTTGCCCATAGTATATTGTAAGTGTACTATACCTATCTTGTTCGGGAGAGCATAGGACCCACTATGAGGGGATTATTTGCCCATAGTATATTGTAAGTGTACTATACCTATCTTGTTCGGGAGAGCATAGAACCCACTATGAGGGGAGAGTTTGCCCATAGTATATTGTAAGTGTACTATACCTATCTTGTTCGGGAGAGCATAGGACCCACTATGAGGGGATTATTTGCCCATAGTATATTGTAAGTGTATCTATCTTGTGATGGAGAGCATAGTATATAGTAAGAGTATTCATCTTGGTTAGGAGACCATAGGACATCTAAAACTGATTCGTTTTTGGGCATTCTGGTTAAGTCTTGTCTGTTGAAGCTTGTCTACAGGTTTCCAGCCAAACCATTTCATGGATTTCATGACATTTCCAGGGATGTTTCTGCATATGAAAGTTTAGAACTGATTAGTTTTTGGGCATTTTGGGTAAATGTCCGTATTAATTCTTACAATATCACCTCCAATGAATTTTGAGAAGAATTCGATTTTGGATATTTGGGGTGAATGAAAAGAATTAATTAGACATCACTCGGCTCCCATCGAACACAGTGAAGACCGTACATGCGAAGATTATAGCTGGTACAAACACTATAGAGCTCTCATATCAATGCTCTGGTATATGCTCAATAAATCATATATGTATGACCTTGAAAGAATGGGTTAGGTTACTCTGGTACTTGGTCCAGTAAAGTTATTGATACATTAAAACAATGTGATTTATTTTCTCATTGGTTGACTCAAAATGTTGAAGAGGATTATATACTCATTCAAATGATCACAAAGAAATTATAAAGTAATTATGCACTTCAATGGAAAGAGGATATCCTTACTTTTCCTGTACTTAGGACGTATATAAAATTCAAAAATACTTTCACCAAAGAATCATATTTAAACATTCAAAATAAAAAGTATAGACATGCATTAGGCTCAGGATAAGTTCTCATAAATTACAGATAGAAGTTGGGCGGTACTCAAAACCAAAGCCAAAACCCACAAGTGAAAGGTTGTGTAGTGAATGTGGGGTAATTGAGGATGAGCTTCACTTTATCACAAGCTGCACAAAGAATTTACAACACCGAGAACTTTTGTTTGAAACTTTAAATCTGATCTGAAACACAACGATCAAGATAAACTGTTTCAAACTATTATGTCAAGTAAAAGTTCTCATGTTAACTAACGTTTAGCCAAATTTGTTTATCACTCTTTTAAAAATTTGGAAAATGATTAATATTATGTAAACATTTTTTATAAAAACATGTATTATGGATACACCACACTGATATTCTGTTATTATACCCTGACATGTGAAACTGATGTAAATTAGTTTAATTTGTAGTATGTAGTTGTAGTTTGTAGTTTTTTTTAGTTTTTTGTATACTGTAGTGATTGATATGTCATTTACATGAATATATAAGCACCAGTGCCAAAGGGAAAGGACTAAAAGTTGTAATGGAACTTAGCAAGAAAAAGCAAACTCTAAGTGCATTCCAGTCAAGAAAAACAAACCCCATATAGCCCAAAACCATGATCTAACGTGAAAAGAAACAATGTCTAATACCCCCTTTCCCCCACCATTCAAGAACCAATATCACAATCCAAGACCAGAAGACCAAGGGACATTTCATTCATACTGAAGTCATTACAATACATGTTGAAGAAAAATTAGAAGTTGATAGCCAATACTCATAACCTTAAAAATAGTTGTAGATACTAGTACTCATACAAGATGGAGCATTCAGTCTCAAACGATGTGGGATAGATAAAATCCAGTCTCCAAGTCCATAAGCGTTTCAAAGGGTCAACATCCATTCACAAAATCTATCGCCATAATCCATAATAATTCACAATGGTCATCAGGAGAAAACTATGGCTGGTTTCGATCCCTATTTCTCAACCATTAATGCCACAGCCAGGATCCACCTCAAAAGGTGCCAAGTGAAATATTGAGTTCAGCGCCAATGTCTTAAACAATTCCTACATCCTTCAGCATCTTGGTTTTTGACATGGTTTTTGAGTCAATAAAAGATATATGGGAATTTTTGACATGCTATTTTGCATTCCTTAATACTCACAGAATATTTCCTCGATCCTTTTTATGTCCCCACCACATAGTGTGGGGCCATATTGTTGGCCTAGGCACGTCCGACTGTCTGTCCGTCCGTCCGTCCGTCCGTCTGTCCGTCCATCCGTCTGTCCGTACGTCCGGGAGTTTTCTCCAAAACCGCTACAGATATCACCTTCAAATTTTCAGGGATAACTTATGAGTGCCTATAGATGTGGATGAAAAAAATTTAACTCGAAACCTACTTCCTGTCGGCCATTTTGAAGTCAAATGCTAAAATCCTTGTCTGCAAACTTTAAGAAAAATGGCTTCACAGTTGCTTTTAAAACTTTAAAATCTTGTTCAGCTCACTTCATTCTAGATCTGATTAGGTTTTGGACCTGCTAGCTCAGTCATGTCAGCCATTTTGAATGTCTTAAGAAAAGTTAGCGTGTGATAATACTTTGTATCATATTGAATGGTGTTTTTCAGTTTTCATACTTAAACTACAGGGTGACCGGAAAAAAAGGAGACCATTGAAGTAATCAATTTCTCCTAAACTAGACAAGTGCCATCAATGAAATTTTGCATACACTGGAACAGTTATATGGAAATTTGTTACTGAAGGTTTCAATACAAGCATTCAACTGGTTCAGGAGCTATGATCATTTACATAACATGCTCCAAATAGGCACAATTGAGACCAACGCAGAGTTGGATTCATATGGCAAACTACCCTTACATGTTCTGCCCTCTATGGCATTATTATGGCATTACATATAGCAGTGATTGCCTTCTTTAGGTCAACAATAGTCTGAGGATTGTTTTGGTATAGATTGTCTTTCAAATATCCATACAAAAAGAAATCAGCAGGATTCAAGTCTAGGCTGTAATGGCAATGAAGGGTTATCTGACATGTGGTTCATCATCCTGTTGCCAAAGTGCTGATTTACCAAATCTTAAGAGTCACTTTAGGTATTGGGCATAGTGCCATGTTACTAAAACCCCTATATGGCACAATTAAATCCCATATGGAAACCAAGGGCTGCCCAAAACCTCCTTAGGATGATACTGTAACTGAGTGGGACCACTGAGTCAGAAGCCATAGGTCAGATAAGCTTCGTCTCCATACACCTCAAATTTGAATCCACCTGATTTCTTTTTGTGGGGCAATTTGAAAGACAATGTGTACCAAAACAATCCTGAGACAATTGCTGACCTAAAGGTGGCAATAAATGCTAAATGTAATGCCATAACAAGGTCGGAATATGTAAGGGTATTTGCCAAATGTATCCAGCTCTGCGTTGGTCTCAATTGCGCCTATTTGGAGCATGTTATGTAAATGATCATAGCTCCTGAACCAGTTGACTGCTTGTATTGACACTTTCAGGAACAAATTTCCATAGAACTGTCCTGATGTATGCAAAATTTCATTGATGTCACTAGTCTATTTTAGGAGATATTGCCTATTTCAATGGTCTCCTTTTTTTCCGGTCACCCTGTATTTAGTAGCTTTATAAATAGTTTCAGGTGTGCTTTGTTGTAAAAGCCTATGTTATTGTTAACAGTATTTATATGTGATAATTTTGTAAAAAGAAATCAGCAAAATAATCATAATCACTTTTTTATTGTCGGCCATTTTGGATTTTTCCCTCCTAAAATCTTGTCTGTAAAGTCTTGTCTACGCATTTTCAGGTGAACCGTTTGGTAGATCAATTTCAAATTTTCAGGGATGATTCTTAGTATGAAAATCTAGATCTGATTAGTTTTTGGGCATTCTGGGTAAATGTCAAGGCAGCCATTTTGGATTTTCCGTCCTAAAATCTTGTCTTTAATGTCTTGTCTACGCATTTTCAGGTGAACCGTTTGGTAGATCAATTTCAAATTTTCAGGATGATTCTCAGTATGAAAATCTAGATCTGATTAGTTTTTGGGCATTCTGGGTAAATGTCAAGGCAGCCATTTTGGATTTTCCGTCCTAAAATCTTGTCTGTAAAGTCTTGTCTACACATTTCAAGGTGAACCGTTTGGTAGATCAATTTCAAATTTTCAGGGATGATTCTTAGTATGAAAATCTAGATCTGATTAGATTTTAGGCATTCTGAGTAAATGTCAAGGCAGCCATTTTGAATTTTCTGTCCTAAAATCTTGTTTGTAAAGTCTTGTCTACGCATTTCCAGGTGAACCGTTTGGTAGATCAATTTCAAATTTTCAGGGATGATTCTTAGTATGAAAATCTAGAACAGATTAGTTTTTTGGCATTCTGGATAAATGCCAAGGCAGCCATTTTGGATTTTCTGTCCTCAAATCTTGTCTGTAAAGTCTTGTTTACATGTTTTCTGGTTAACTGTGTGACGGATCAATTTCAAATTTTCAGGGTTGGTTCTTAGTATGAAAATCTAGAACTGACTTATTTTTGGGCATTCTGGGTAAATTTTAAGGTGGCCATTTTGGATTTTCCGTCCTCAAATTGTGTCG